GAACACCTGTGCAATAATCATGCTGTCTAATCAGCATCTTGATATGCCACACCTGTGAGGTGGATGGATTATCTCGGGAAAGGAGAAGTGCTCACTAACACAGATTTAGACAGATTTGTGAACAATATTTGAGAGAAATAGGCCTTTTGTGTACATAGAATAAGTCTTAGATCTTTGAGTTCAGCTCATGAATAATGGGGCAAAAACAAAAGTGTTGCGTTTATAATTTTGTTCAGTGTATATTATTAATAATCATGATCAATAATTATTACTTTGTTTAATGATTTATTTAGTTATAACTATAATCAAATTATTAGTAGTCATATTGATATATAAAAACAACATTTTGTTTGGCCAAATTGTGCAGATCTACAAACAGGCACAGCAAACTTAGTGTTCTTTATAATTTCTGGCAAATAAAGAAACAGTTTATCTGAAAACTTTTCTAGTTCCAGTTCAGATTTTGTGTGCAGATTTTGTTGAAAAGCTTTTCTGAAAACTTTTCTAATTACAGTTCAGATTTTGTGTGCAGATTTTGTTGGTTCATATTTTGGAATTGAAATGAAAGAATGATAGAGAGATTAAAGTGAAATTGTAGTAGAAATGGAATCCAAACGGTATCTTTATGGAGCTGAAAAAAAAGGATGTTCTGACTGCTATACATAATATTTATTGCTTTAGTATTAGTATTTGTTTTATAAATGCAATGATGCCCACGATCACAGACAGACTTGACATATGTTTAAATTGCTATGACAATTTTTATACTAGTGGGGCCTATTTTCGTTATCTTGCCTAGGGTCCCACAACCCTACGGGCCGGCACTGCCCACACCTATGAACTGGTGTGACTGTAACACTGCAACTATGTAAAATAAAATCAATAATTCAACTACAATGCAGTAAAAAAGTGAACAGAAACGAAGGGGTTACACTCTAAAACATCGAGAGTGTAAAACAGATACATCCACTCACACACACTTACCTATACACACTCACAGACACACACATACAGAATTACACATACTCAAATGAATTGGTATGGCTATAACCATATAGCCAAAATGAGTCAGAAGTAGGGGTGTAACGATTCAGTCGTTTTCTCGATGCATCGATTACAAACCATGAAGATGCATATGCATCGGTCTTGAAACATGGATTTTTTGAATCGCCGATTTCGGACAGTAATCGATTTAAAACGCTAAGAATCGAATGAATCGCGATTTCTATAGCGATTCAATGCTTTCAAAATATATACACATTAAATTACTACAAGCCCGAATTAATGGAGACCTTGAACAGTGTTTGTGTCCTCACATCTCTCCTTCACGCGCTCCACTATTTACCGCCTGCAGTGACTGTCACAGGATTGCGCTCGCACTCCGTTCGTCTCGCAGCTGATGTGTCATCTCTCCACACTCGTGGCCAGTAATGCTAAAGTGATGTAGTTTTACTATTCTGTAGTTTTTCAGTGGCTCTCGGTCATGCTGACGACATTACCTGAGCAGTCGAAGGCTACACATTTATTTGCATGGACGGAGCAAAAATGTAAGTGTCTAAAGCATATGCACAGTTCCATTGAATGATAAATGTGTTTTAACAATGTCATTGAACCGAATGTACGAAGGAAACTGTTGAAATAACCACAGCATTAACAACAACCTTGAAATAAGAGCGCAAGGTTTATCTGATAATCAGATGCATATAGCGTTTTTTGCTATAGCAAACAGACATCGGGTGCGTTTTCTTTCAAAATCATAATTCGCCGATGGAGTGGAAAAGATAAATACTATAGCATTTTATTTTATGAAAATGAGATAAAGTTTTCGCACTGAAAGAGAAGTGATCTCACGCTCATAGAACTTTAGACGTGCTAGGCTATATCTGCAGCTAAGCTGTATAAAAAGCAGAATGATCTGATGAAACGTTAAGAGAATAAACACAATAAATAAATACAATTTATAAAATGACATCATTTATTACAGTACAGAAACTATAAAGTATATTTTCTACCTTATTCTGTGCAGAAAATTTATTGTTTGTAGTATATAAAACAATCATAAAATTTCCATTAGGAAATAAATATAGCCATAGCATCATTAAACTAGCATCTAACAATGGACAAAAGTGTTTTCTCTCTCTCTCTAACCTATGGTTGAATCGTTCTAAATTTGCAAAAATCGTTCTTGAATCGAATTAAAAACCTATGAATCATGAATCGAATCGATTCGCTGTCTACCCAAATATTCACAGCCCTAGTAAGAAGACTGAAATAAGA